TAATTCATCCAACCATAAATGAAAAATTTTCCCAAAAAAACTGTCAAGACCTTTGCATAAATTCCTACGACCAGCAGAACCTCACCGTTCCTCATCGAGAGAAAACTTGAGCGGAAACTGCTACGGTTAGTGACAAATGAACTATAGCTACCTCAAAATAGCCTTCGAGCTTTAAGGCACGTTATATGTGGCTGCGTATAAAAGGATACTTCATAAAATTGTGAGTAATTTTGGAGCGTTTTTTCTCATAAACGACTTTGATAATACCAAATGTGCAACAACATGAAAAAAGAGGTGCCAGTAAGGGTGCCAGAGGTCTCCCCTAGGAAGATAGCAACACGAGTGTAGGGTTGAAAAACTGATAGTCAGAATTCGACGCATTTTCGCGTCACCTGGAAATATTCATTTGGTGGAACGTTGTGCCGGTTTGGCGTTGTGTCCGCGGGTTGCTCTGTGTAATTGTGGTAAGATTCTTAGCTTGTCTCTTTTGTCGCTAGTCCCAATTTGCTATAATACATAAGTTTATAGATTTCATTCCTGTTGCTATTTACTAATCACCACCTACTAGTAATTGGGTTCTTGTGTTAAGCAATTCAAGGTCTGATAATGAATAACTGGCAAAACGTCCACCACCAAATAACACACCATGTGAGATAGGTACTCGCAGATGTTCATAGAGTGGTCCATTCCGAGCTGCTTATCACTAGAAAAAGCGCGCGCCCTATACCTTTACAGTTTCCCGAAAGTTGATATAACTTCCTGAACTCACAGGAGATGATTGATTCATCCACGATGAGGGAGAAAAAATCGTCGATTTTTTTCTCGCACAAATTTCACAAGGCAGAAATTCACTTCAACACTTCCCGTGAAACTAACCTAGATTTCCTAGTCATCGTAAGCTCAGGTGTAGAGGAGCTCTTGCGAACCGCGCGTTGCATCTGATTATTCACTCAATTCTTGAGAAAAATTTTCGGGTAAATTTTATGTTACATCAGCCGGGCTTTCGAATTCGCCCAACATAGTGACGTAACCCTTGTGATGAGTTTCATCACGATGAGGCGGCCTTGGTAAAAAATTTCTTTCCCAATTTGCTAAACCTGTGTGAGAAGACGGACACTGCTGCGCAGTAGTGGTGGTGGAATATATAATCGCTTTTCTAACTAGTTGTACGAGTTTGAGTAAAAACGTACAGAAACATACAAAAATTTCCAAAAATTTCCGAACATTTCCAAAAATTTCCAAAAATTTTCACCAACACATACTTTGACATGTGAAATTTTTTCCCACACTGCTCAGGCGAAAATGTAATGTTGTAATATATATATTTGCTTTTGTGAGTGAGCTAATTATATAAATTCGGTAAAAATGTACAGAAACCAACGAGAATTTCCGGAAATTTTCGCAAAATTTTCGCATTTTCACCAAAAAATGTGCAGATTTTCCCACACACAGGAGTTTTATCACCAACTATACGACTTCGAGTAGAAATGTACAGAAACCAACAAGAATTTCCCAAATTTTTTCTCAGAATTTTCATATTTTCCTCCACTTACCCGTAGTAACGGTGGTAGGATGAGACTTCTTGTTCCGTCGGCTCACCCTCGAATCACTGAGCAGCCAACCGAAGTCTTGGGATGCCGTTTGTGGCAGTAGAAACTTGTCTCGAGGATCCTGAGAGTCTTTGTAGTTCAAAAGAAATTTCGAAAAAAAAGGAAAAGTTTCCGCATCTCACCGTTGATGATTTTCTGAGATTTTCAAGAATGTCGAGCATCGAAGCACTCCGGTGTCGACTGCCGAGATTCTCCTCATTGGGCTTAGCAGTAATGCTATCTGGCAAACGGGCCAGGGAGAAGGGCGCCTCTGAGGAGGAGCAAATATAGTGTGAGGGGAAAATACGAAAATTCTGAGGAAATTTTTGGGAAAATTGGTACATTTTTACCCGGAGTCGTACGTGAACTCCTGAGCTCAGCTGAGGAAAGCGATTACATATATTCATACTCCAACACTGTATAGGAAACTCCTGAGCTCAGCAGCTGAGGAAAGCGATTACATATATTCATACTCCAACACTGTATAGGAAACTCCTGAGCTGAGCTGAGGAAAGCGAACGTATATTCCTCCTCCAACACTGGTTACCTCTAATCTTGGCATTCACTTTGTTCTCCTTTTCGATGCGTTCATTCCATAGTTTAATTTCGGCATTCAGGTCGCCTTTCTCAGGCATCCATAAAACAATTAACTTTGAACTATATGTGCTACTCTTTGGGTCTAAATCTCCGAGCAAATCTGATGTAGAGAGTAACACCGGGGTTTCTCAATCCGAAGGTATCGAGTTCGATACTCCCAGACTTCATATTAATCACCCCATCGTCAAATTCAGAATACGGTTCCTTATCTCTATTATTAGAAAACTCTACGTGTAAATCAATATTCGTTGTATTCTCGTGTGGAGATCACAATGAGAAATGCTAAAGCCGCAGTATCTCAATCACTTCGACCTCGATGGAAGACTTTTAGCAATGTGCACGCATATGCAAATCAGTACGCGAAAGTGTGCTGTTAACTTAGCGCTCGCCATTCTAATCGATGGTTATTAGAAATTCATAAGTACAACCACGATTATCATGAGTGAATCATGCACCCTCGCAAGCTTCGGGGAGTCTCTATGTCTGAACTCCATCGGTAACCCTGTCGTTGAGGTTGTCATTGAAGTCGGGCTCCTTCTCATCGCCTTCGCTACTTTAGCATTGGCCGCTGACCATCTGTGCGATTCTATGGAAACCTTATGTGATCATTGGGGTCTTCCTGAGGAGATCGGTGGCGCTACATTCATGGCATTTGGTGGAGCCGTACCAGAGATCACTGTGAACTCCCTTGCTACTATGAAGGCCATCATGAGTGGCAACCAAGAGGCTGATGCCGCGTTGGGAATCGGTGCTATTCTCGGAAGTGGCCTGCTGGCCTTTCTCACAGTCCCCGCCTTATGTAGCATTGCCAGTGATAAGATGGTCCCTCTACTGTTAAAGAGAAAACCATTGACGCGAGATGTGTTATTCTACGGTGTATCGGTTTTGGTACTCATACATGCCCTCAGAACCGCTATTACTACTATACATGGTGTTGTTCTCATCCTCGTCTACATCGCCTATGTAACTACGCTCTGTTACGGTGACCATGTTCGGTCTTGGTACACACAGTGGCGACTCACTCACAGAAACGGCGTCGCAGCAGCAATGGAGCCTTCCAAGACCGCCGACGGCTCTGCCGAATTCCAAAGTTTTCGGGAATTCAGACGGAAAGAGAACAATCAGAAAACCTCAGTTTTCCGTGACAAGTACGATGAGGAGCTCGCCATGCCCCTGATCGAAACCGGTTCAACACCAGTCTTAAGTGAATCTGCTCAAAAGTGTACATCTCTGTTGCAGAATATTCAGCGAGACCTAGATGCAGTCCTATGGCCTTTGAAACACATCATTGATATCAGTTGTCCTGATTGCCGTATCTACCAGCCTCAAGAGAACCTCTATGCGTTGACATTCTTCGCGGCATTTACGTGGGTGTCAGCTGCCTCCTTTCTCATCGGTTGTGTCGTTGACCGATGGGTTGTCCTTTTGCACAACCCCAGCTCTAGCGGGTTTTTCGGACTACTACTGGTTGCCCTCGGTGCTGAGATCCCCGATGCGATAAACGCTTTGACTGCGTCTTCTCGTGGTTACGGCTCCATGGCTGCTGCCTCTTGCATCGGCTCGCAAATTATCAACATTTGTGTTGGACTCGGTTTACCATGGGTGATGACAGTTTTCTCAGAGACCTCGGTACCGATCTCTCCGAGCAGTACTGTTTTCCTCACCTGTGCTTCATGTATCAACGCCGCAGTGGCGACCCTTGTTCTCGGCTGGTTGGTTTGGCAGGGGATGGCCTCTGGTGTTAGTCAGTTTTGTATCATAGACCGGACGCGCGGGATGGCGACTTTGCAGTGCTATGTTGTCGTTATTGTGCTCCTCGGAGTGGTGGCTTTCAGTGGGTTGATTCGATGACGGAATTTTTCACTAGTATTGTAATATTGAATCTCCTAATCAGAGCTGACTTGTGTTATTAGTATTCGAGATTCATTCCTCTCTTATTAAAAAACTAAATAAGTAAACCGCGGGCAAGTGAAGTGCGTTTGCTGTGATTCTGCTCTGGAACGGCGAGTGGTTCAACGATGAGCTTGCAGGAATTACAGCAGTGGGGAACCGCTGAGCATGGACGTTCCTTCTCAGCGACTTGTCTTTATCTTTCATCACTGGTAAATATCCGATGACTATTCGTTCATCATTAGTTTGTCTACGAAGCTGAGATGATGTTTGGTAAAAGTCCCTGCTCGTAACTGCTGTAACTGCTTGTAACAATACCATTTTGCGTGCTCAAAATACGCAAGGGGGAACCTGTTAGCTCATCATCTATTTCCGTCGAGATTATGGCGCGCGTATCGTCTTCTTCATCCGTAATGTAGCATTCTAGATATGGTGACGAGTCGAGGCTCTATGGCTGCCGCGTGTTGCAAAGCAAAGCATCCCAGAACGTTAGACGGTGCCCCTCGAGCTTTCGATCAGTACCAAACTTTGAACCAAACACGCTTCACAATCGTCAATTGAATCTGGGATGACCTATTTCTGAGGTCGGGCAAATTATTGGAGTTCTCAATGACTTATCAGCTTTCAGTGGTTGCGCTTAGTCGAGCTGCCCCGGTCGGGACTCGGCAACACAAGGCGAGTTGGATAGTAGAAGTGTTCACCGGAAGAAATGTTACAGGATTCGGAATTCGCTAGAGTCAAATAAGACATGAATTATTTCGAATAAGTCACTACCCGGATTTGAACCGGGGTTGTCACGGCCACAACGTGACGTCCTAACCACTAGACGATAGCGACTTCGAAAACTTTAAATATGAGCGAGTCGTGTACGAGAAGATACCATCCATTTCTGAAATATATGGTCAGTGACTCGATTAACTCCACAACAACAACGACTACAATTTCCCAAGATTTCTGCATCATCATCGATTAACGTAGTTAACCCATCTATGTCACCGTAAAC